TGTTACAGTATCCTAGACGGAGTACCTACTTAGTGTGTTTGGTGCTTAATTATCTCCTTAGTAGTGGCTCCGTTGATGAAACGTGGCTCCTATCAACATGTCTCCAGGTCTTATTCCTTCGGGTTTACACTGGATATGGAGTGTGTGGTTGGAGCTGTGGATGGTGCAGCGCAAGCCATCCATGAACTCTCTGTAGGCGCAGACGTCCTGTGGCTGGCCACAGAGACAGGCAAATCTGAAACCGGATGCCGCCAACCAGTAGTGGCTGATTATGACGCGGTGCAGAGTAAGCCGCAAGGAAGCTGTCTCGTCGATGCCGCCATAGCTTCGCACAATAGCCAGCTGTTTGTGACGGTACGCTATTAACATACGGTGTACGCAGTTTGACCCTGAATGTTTGTTTACGGCATTAATGTTTTTGGGTAAGTCTCCCTTCTCTCTCACTTAATATTCGTTATTCAGTAGGTCACCATAGTTGTATGGCAGCAAAGCATCAGTGCAAGTGACTGATGTACTACTGTTGTTGATCGATAGAGAGAAGGATGTCATGGCAACGACACAAGCGCCCCAGCTTAGAGAGAACGAGATGAGCTAGTCTTCAACAGTTCCACCGACGGTGATACAGCTACCCAGACCAACAAAACTCTCTGTAACTTCCAATGTTTCACCATAAACGTGAGTGGAGGGTACAGGCATCTGAAAGTCTTGGAAAATAGATTTGCATTTGAATGGGGAACAGCCATCCCATACTTCTACGCTTCAATTGCAAGTTGGATGGCCTGTAGACCGCCACTCAGCAAGATATCATCAGCGTAATCCAAATCAACAACCCGATTACCTGGGAGGAGCTCAACGCCATTGCCCAAAATATATCCCGGGGCATTTTGGGGATATCCTCAAAGGTAAAATTGAAAAGGAACGGGGAGATGGAGAATCCCTGTCGAACCCCATTGGTGACAACAAAGGAAGGCGAAAGCTTGTCATAAGCCCTAACTCCACCAGAGGTGAAACAGTAGGGAAACGAACTACCCGGGGGTGCCATTCTTCAACAGACAATGGTATAATGCAGTCGCGTTGACATAATAAAAAGCAGAAGGGATATCCCGGATCACAGCAATCGTTGGTTTTTGATACACATAGCGGAGCTCGATAACCGAGTGTAGAAAGTTGATCGATACAGCCGCAACCGGGGTGGAATCCAGCCTGTACTTCTCATCGTAGTGACTCGCAACTTAGAGAGAGCTTGCGAATTATGATGGACACCAGAAGCTAGCAAACGATGGGGAGCAAAGATAAACCCCCTGTACGCAGGCCCGTTTGGAAGAAAGAGATGACTATCGAATCACCCCAAGAATATGGAGCCTTCTCTTCTAACCAAACTTCTGAGGACAAAGCAGTACGTTCTTGAGTCAGCGAATAGCCACCATCTTTAAATAGGGCAGGTAGTAAGCCACCATGGTCGGGTGCATTATGGCGCTGTAAGAGGCGGAGTTCACGCCAGATTTACTGCTAAGAGGGTGGACCTGAGGGGATAGACCACTCATCACCATTGATCACTACAGGGGAACTAAATGGAGCTGGCGGGCAGCAAAATTGCGAGCCAAAATGTTCGACGCAGCACTGGTGAAGGAAGTTAGAAAACTATCCACTAATGTGTTGCATCAGGGCGATCAACACGGTGTAGACTAACGCAATGCTAAAGTGAGCGATCGTCAAATTTGTGCGAAAATGATCGTCTGTTTCCCCAAATCGATCACATTGGGGTCAGGTACCACATGAAAGGCTGCGTTCAAAAATGCCGCTAGATTTTGAATACCAGCGTTGACTCCGATCACGCACTTGCATGTGCCGATCGTCGAGCAAGCGTCGGTGGGCACCTGCGGCAGCGCTGTGAGTATACGGACACCAACCAATCGGCGAAGCCAGGTATTTCAACATGTACCAAACTGCATTGGTATCCGAGCTGAGTAAAAGCTCACTGAACAGTGTTGAGGATCGGAGGTCCCATGTCCACCAGACGTGATTGGTAGCAGGCATGTCCTTATGTAGCAAATAAAACTGCCAACCTAAATATTGGATCTCAACGTAGTCTCTGGTAATTCTGGATGCGCGCCGACACATTGCGACTAGGAGCGAACCCAATGAGACACGCAAATACCTCAGGTCGAGTCTACATGATAGCCTGAAGAGAGATCGCGAAACCTGGTGGTCCCGTGGCGCATCGATGATGGAGACAGCTACTGCCCTTGATAACCATCGGAAGTTACTCCGTCTGATACGGGTAACCGGACACCTAGTGTTAGCAAGACCACGCGGGACGAGGGTGGACACCATATGCAGAGCTTCTTAAAATGCTTAGACCACTGGGCCGAACACTTTGAAAATCAGTTTAATTAGGCAAAGTTGTCAGCTCCGTTATCGACCACTGATCGCCCTTCTTCTTGAACCGTCTCCTTGGATCCGCCTTCAGGTGCAGAAGTAGAAAGTTAGAACAGACTGGTTTTCGTGTCTTTAGCTACCATGAAATTATGACGATGATGAAGCAGTCCAAATGTGGTGAGAGTGGATGGAGAAATTTAGTGCTTAGGCCACTCTTCATAACTCGGGCAAAGAACCATTTGTTTATCAGTATGTACCATCATTCATCATATACGTCAGCTAGAGGTGGGAAACACCTCAGCTACTGTGCCGCAATACACAAACGAAAAGAAAAATAAATACAATAGTTGCATGCCAGCTGAGCTACCAGCAACGGGTAGACATCGTTCCGGTAAGCTACCAGCCGGCTACTAGGCAAAAAGAAAAATTATTACGTTTTACGCTACGAAATGAGATCGTAGGTGGAGCGGAAGTCTAAAAGGGATGGGGAGGGACAAAGAAACTCACAGCACGAACGCCACTGAGGTCGGCTCCTAGCCATATCAACAAGTGCATCCAGCCAAACGTGTTCACCGTCTTTTGGACCCCAACCAGGGAGCCGTGACGCTCCAACCGAGGCCAGCTCCGAAGTGAGGGCCTTCATTCCTCTCGATCAAGTCGTCGCTTGGCCACCCCTTCTCTTCTTCCATCCACAACCCCGGTGAGCAAACAACGCACGTCGTGGAAGTCGGTGGGCTGACATGCGTAACACGTGGCCCAGCCCATCGGAGCCTGGTGCGTGAAATGACGGTGCTGACCGCTTCAGTTCCTTTCCCTGTGCCGTAAACAAGGCGTCGAACACGCTCGTTACTCACGCAGTGTTCCCACCAGATGTGAGCCAAACTGCGAAGGCACCGATGGTCGAACGTAACTAGCCTCTTCATGTCCGCCGATCTTAGGGGCCAGGTTTCGCAACCATACAGTAGGGTCGAACGTACCGCTACATGGTACACTCTACCCTTCAGAATGAGAGCAATGTCGCGCCGCCGCCGTAAGTGGCGAAGACTAAGAAAAACACTTAGAGCTTTTGCTATACGGTTCGTGATCTCGTCTTCGATCCCAAGGACGCTGATGCAACTTTCCAGGTAGTGGAATTTTCGAACGGCTTTTAGCTGATCCCCACCAAGGTTCAGCGCAAGAGGCAATGGCTGCCAATCTTGGAGGAACGCTTTGCACTTCAATGGTGCAAAGCAAAGCCCGCAGCGGCTGACAGTCAGTGCTAATCTGTCCACCGCGGCTTGGTACGTCTGGGAGATGTCACAGATGAGTGCCATGTCGTCTCCATACTCCAAGTCAAGAAGTCCTTCTCCTGGGAGTAGCTCCACACCTTCTAAGTCATGTCCTGTAAATGCAATCTCCATGGCTTCATCAATAGCGAAGTTGAAGAGGAAAGGTGACAGCGGGCATCCTTGTCTCACACCGCTGGAGATATTAAAGGGTGGTGACAGCTTGCCGTAAGTTTTCACTCTGCCCGTGCTACGCGCGTATAATGCTGGGATAATATTTACCTATTTCTCGGGCACACGTTTCCTGAGTCGACAATTCCAAAGGGCACATCGATCCACCGAATCGAAGGCACCTTGGAGATCGCGGAACACGACTACGGTGGGCAGCCAATATGTGTGACGGTGTTCCAACAACTGACGCAAGGTGAAGAGGTGGTCGATGCAGCCACGACCCCGACGAAACCCGGCTTGGTCCTCACGAGTCTGGCTTTCACGAGTGCCAGTCAGCCTGTGGAGAATTATGGAGGCGAGTAATTTGGAGGTTAATGTTGGAGGTGATGGAGATCAGACTGATTCCTCTATGGTTGCCGCATTCCGAACGCGAGCCTCCATTGAAGATGGGAACAATAACAGAGCGCCTAAAGTCGGTTGGGACAGTCTCCTGCTCCCATCAGTATGTACCACAGAGTGAACATACGACGCATGAGTTTTAATCGCGTTCGGCTCAAGAAATGGGCTTTGATAATGCCTATTCTCACAAGCAGTTCTCAGTGGAAACAACATCGCAAACCCGATGCACTTCAGTTTGTCAGGTATTATCCATGCGTCAAAGTGTGATGGGTTCGGTCGTCTTGAAGTACGTCAAACTAAAATAATGATAAGGACATCAAAGATTCAAAAAATGAGCAAGGATGAAAATGGCCTCTTGCAACTGCAAGAAATCAGAACTCGGAGAACAAGCGCGGGAGTGTAACTAACTTCCTCAGCACGGATGTGGCCCATCTCAAAGGCATCATCCAAATCCAGCGTTGCTATTGTCCGGATAGACTCACAGTTGCACATAGAGCAGCTCGGCCTCCATCACGTATCAAACGATGCATTCAAGTAGGAACACTAACTGGCAACTGTGCGTCAAATTGCATTACTAGTAAAAAATAATAAAGAGTAAGAATTAGATACAAAGTTATAAAATTATCCCCAGGTCACTGACGAAATAGTGCTGAGCACAAATGCATCGTATATTAACTAAGAAAACAAGTAAAACGCGCAAATGCGGTTAGCATGTGTTTGTGCAGTAGCTGAGGATGAGAGAGAGGCGATCGTGCTGCAAAAAAACGAAGGAATGGTTGTACTCGCCTCATGGAACGGAGGAGAAACGGCTGAGCCAGTTGGACAACAATGGCACCGTTCCCCAACTGGTGGCAAGTGTATCCGCTGTTCCAATCGTACATTCGAGCATTGCCATCAATCAGCGCGTTCCGATTACGGCTGACTCCCTCAAGCACTGTGGCGCCGTGCTCCACAGTCGCGACGTTATATGTTGGGATCTGGAATAGAAGGAGCGAAATATTGTCAAGTCAAGTTTAATCAAACAGATTGTAAAGGAAACGGCCGGTGAGTAGTTCAGTTGATCAACTATGATCATATTTGTTGTATCAAGAAAGCCGTAGGAAAGGTAAAATGTATCTCGCAAAATTAACCAAGTACAACTGAGTCAATCCCTTGTTAAATGGAGAGTCAAGCGACAGACACACACAACCAATAGGAATGAGTCAGCAAGCCAACCAATGAGATCGAGCCAATCGATGTTGCTGACATGGTTACCACATTATCGTTCCCCCTCCGAAAAGCTGCCTCAACCGGGTTCGTAGCGATCAATAGGTTTCACCGTTCTCGCGGACCGACGCAGCTGGCTTCGTGGTAATGGTAACTCAGCCGGGTCTTCGCGCGCGGATCGGTCGGGCTGATTAGCTGGTCCGTGAGCTGTGTGGAGTCGACGCGCGTTGACAATTAGGCCGTTCTCCAATCGATAGGTGCCCGGGCCAAGCGTACGGTCGATGCGCAGTGGAGCGGAAAGCGAAGGTGTGCCTTTCTTTGTTGCTCTGCTTTTGACGCGAACGTATGTCCCGGGCTGCATTGGTGTTGATAATTTAGCGTAGGAATTTTGGTAAGATGCTATGCGATTTGAAACTTCGGCACCTCTCGCTGACAAAACGTTATGCGCAGCATTTAACATTGTGCGTAAGGGCCTTCCTAACATCAGCTCCGCTGGCGTCCTTCCGGTGGCTCTGTGGTCACATGTTCTGTAGGAAAAAACCGCAGTTAAAACTGCATCCTCCTAGTCCGAACCTCCTATGTGTATGGCTTGTATAGCTTCTTTTAAAGACCGGTTTAAACGTCCGACCATGCCGTTGGCTGCAGGATTGTAGGGCGCAGTTCTGGAGTGCTTAATGTAATGGCAATGTAGAAAATCTGCGAAATCGCGGCTACAAAATTGTGGCCCGTTATCCGTTACTATTTCATGCGGTAAACCGAAACGGCTGAACAAGTGTTTAAGCCAACGTAACACAACCGAAGTAGTAACTTGGTCGCACATGTGTACTTCAGGCCATCTACTGTAAAAACATGTAGCAACAAGTAGATTTCGCTTATTCGTAGGAGCAGTAGCGAAAGGGCACATAATATCAATGGCGATTTTGGTCCATGGTTTCATCGGGTAAGCAATTGGCTGTGTCGGGGCTTTAACGGGCAAAGAACTTTTGTCCGCTAATCGGCAAGCATTGCAATTGACCACAAATGTCTCAATGCTAGATGCCATTCGTGGCCACCAGAAATAGAGTCTTACTCGATATTTGGTCCGAACTATACCTGGATGTCCCTCATGTGCGCAAGCTAGTATCTTGGCTATCAACTGGGACGGAGCTACAAACACCGAACCGCGCATCAGGCAACCGTCTACCACTGATAGTTCATGTCGAATTGCATAATACGGAATGAACTCACCGGGGATTTTGTTATTCTTGGGCCAGCCCTGCTGCACATATTCAATAATCTCATGCAGTAAAGAATCGTTAGAATTTTCCCTTCGTAGTTCCTCGATCGTCAAGGCCGACAGGTTAGCTCCGAGACTGGAAACTAGTACCGCCTCTCTGAGTCTCTCTTTTTCATCCTCCAACCCCACGGGTAAGCGAGATAGGCCGTCAGCAATCTGATTTTGCAAACCTGGCCGGTACACAATTTCAAAATCGTAGTTAAGGAGCCTGGCATACCAGCGATCTATTCGCATTGAGCGAGATCCTTTAGATCCATTGCTGAGAAGAGCTGTTAGGGCTGAATGATCAGTACGCAGAATAAAACGACGACCGAACAGAAATAAATGCCACTTTTCACAGGCCCACACACATGCAAGGGCTTCTTTTTCCCCAACTGAATAATGACGTTCGGAATCTGATAGCTTTCGTGATGCGTAGGCAATAACTTTCTCCTCTCCGTTTTGTATTTGTGAGAGGACAGCTCCGAGACCGACATCAGACGCGTCAGTGGACACAAAGGTGCGGCAAGATTCATCAAAAATGGCAACTAAGGGAGCAGACGCAACTTTCCTTTTCAGTTCATCAAAGGCATTTTGATGATTGCTGCCCCAAACGAACGACGATCCTTTCTTTGTTAACTGTCGTAATGGATCTGCCACAGTCGCAAAATCCGGCAGATAGCGCAGGTTGTAAGAGCACATTCCTAAAAAGGACTTTAGTTCTGTCAAATTTTTGGGTGTTGGCGCTTCAGAGATGGCCCTGATATTTTCATCACTTGGTCGAATGCCACTGCGTGAAATGACGTGTCCCAAAAACTGAATTTCTGGTGCATTGAAGAGACATTTTTCTGCGTTCAGACGCAAATTGAGATCACTGAGGCGCTGGAGGACTTTGTGTAGCCTTGCATCATGTTCTTCCTGTGAGCGGCCGAAAACACAAATATCATCCATGTAGGCAACCTGCCCATCGATACCTGCCAGGGCGTGAGTCATGAACTTTTGCCAGGCGGCGGGCGCGGAACTCAAACCCATGGGTAAGACTTTGTACTGAAATAGGCCATCAGGAGCGAGGAAGGCAGTTAGGTGTTTGGAATCATCGGCCAATGGCATATGGAAAAACGCACTTTTCAAATCTAGCTTGGAAAAAACAGTTGCACCAGCTAAACGTACAGTGAGTTCATCATTAGATGGTAAAACAAAGCGTTCTACGACGATCTGTTTGTTCAGCGCCTGCAAATCGTTGCATATCCGGACAGTACCGTCTTTTTTCATGACACAAACCATTGGATGCACCCACTCAGAGCAATCGATGGGTTCAATCAAATCATTTGCTAGCATCGCTTGCAGGGCTGCAGAGACCGCTTCACGTTTCGCTAGCGGAATGGGTCGAGGTTGACCAATGGCGACCGGTTTCGCATTCGGTTTCAGCTGAATTCGATGCACACCACATGGAATACGGCCGATGGACTTCTGGAAGAGCTGCGGATAGTGTCCCTGCCAGTGTGCTACGTTGACGGAAGAGATAAGCATGCGGTCGAATGATGGTACAATGTGCAAAGCCACCATAGCATTCCTCCCAAGCAAGGGTCGTCTGTTGTCCGAAGAAATATACACTGCGACATCGGCAATCACAGAATGCAACTGCAAAGGCACGATAATAAATCCCAATATGGTTAGTGTGTTCCCACTATAACTCCAGAATGAATGTGAGGTGGGATGTAAAGTATGCTGTGATAGGTAGCGTTCATAAAATTGGAAGGGCACGATAGTAACTGGAGAAGCAGAATCAAGTTCCATTTCCAATGGAACAGCACCTTTAACAGTAAGGAACAATACAGTACGAATGTCAGCAGCTGGAAACTTCAGTTCAACAACGGATATGGTTACACAACCTGAAGGTATGGAGTCAGCGGTGATTGAATAGATATTGTCTTGAGTTGGATCGGTAACATGGCATTCCGGTGTATCATCATCTTTAATGAGCGCGACAGCCTGCGATCGACAACAGCGGGCATAGTGACCAATTTTACCACAGTTTTTACATTTGAGGCTGCGTGCGCGACAACCGGCAAAATTAGCTTTGTGAGACGTGCTCCCACAACGATAGCAAGAAAGTTTGTCTGTCGGACGTTGCCGGAAAGATTGTACTCTCGCCACTTCTGCTAAGCTGGTGGAACAAAACTGCTTCGATTGCAATGAAATTTCTGTCTTTACTCGGGCTAATTCGCAAGCTCGATCCCACTTTGGTGTGCAAGCGTCTTCCTGCAATAGCCCCTCACGTATGCGATTGTCAGCGATTCCAGTGATCAGTTGCTGAGTGAGCATACAGCCTTCAATCTTTTTCTGTGGAATAGACGAGTAGGCACACGGTCGTACTGCACGACTCAGCCGAGCAATGAAATCATTCAAGGGTTCGCCTGCTTCTTGGTGTATTCGGGAGAAAATATATCGCGCGGTGAACACGTTCATTTGGTAACTCCATGCACGATCGAGAGCATTGAAGGCGTCCATAACCGATTTGCATCCTTGGAGACCCAAATCATCGAATTGTCGCTGTCTCTCATCTCCGAGTAAATGACGAAGCAGCTTCAATCTTTTATCCTCAGTAAGAGCAGTAGGGAGATCGCTGATTAAATCCAAGTAGTTTAGGAAGGATGTTTTCCAACGGAACCAGGCATCCGATGTCGGTCTGCTGCCGCAATCAGTCCAAAATGGAGATGGGGGTTGGATGGAAAGGTTCATTTTTGCCTCCGCGACGCCACAATGTTGTATCAAGAATGCCGTAGGAAAGGTAAGATGTATCTCGCAAAATTAACCAAGTACAACTGAGTCAATCCCTTGTTAAACGGAGAGTCAGGCGACAGACGCACACAACCAATAGTAATGAGTCAGCAAGCCAACCAATGAGATCGAGCCAATCGATGTTGCTGACATGGTTACCACAATATTTATGAAATGCGACCGATCCATTCTACACCACGTACGCCACCTTAGGCATAGAAACAATAAACAAAAACAGAAAGAAGCGAAAGGAAGAAATATGCTAGCATAAATCAGGAAAGAAAAGCGCAAGTATGGCATGAAAAGTAGAGGCAAAAGGGGAGTAGGAGCGTCAATGGCAAAGTGGTTCGCCTCCCTGGATGCTGTAAGTCAAATATCAAAGAGAACAGCATGTACCAGCAAGTTGTTCTGCGAAGACGACAACCGGCTGCTCTGGGGTTATACATGCAGAGACAAAGTATTGGCGAATGATGAGCATGGAGAAAGAAAGTCACGTGTGACTAATGCGGACAACTTAAGTTCTACGGATGACTCAGCATCAGTCGTGGATAAGCACTGGGTGGCCACAGCCAGTGACGAAGAACACTTGTCTCTTAGGGTTCAGATCACGCGATGACCGTGTTTCCGACTCAAACAGCCCAGCCAGATTGGTGCACAGAGGTATGGTCCACGCAATTCTTGATTCAAGCCACATCGATGATGATGATGGCAACCATAGTAATAATAATAATAATA